GCCTCAAACTGTGATTCTCCAGATCTCAGCTTCCCTAGTAGCTATGATTACAGATGTGAGCCACCAAAACCCGACTTAATTACATTTCTCATTTTCTTAAAAATGTTTATGATCCAGGTGCCAGTGGCTCAGGCCTGTAGTCCTAGCTACTTGGTAGATGGAGACTGGGAGGATAGCAATTCAAGGCCAGCCGAGCAAAAAGTTGCAGAGACTCCAACTCAAGGGAGTGTCACCATGCCTAGCTACCATGACAAACACAAATAGGAGGATTATGGTTCAGGTCTGCCCAGGCAAAAAGCAAGACCCCATCCCCAAAACCACCAGAGCAAAAAGGGCTGGAAGAATGGCCCAAATGGTAGAGTGCCTTCCTAGCAAGCGTGAAGCTTTGAATTCAAACCCCAGTACCACAAAAACAAAACAAAACAAAGGCATGACAGCTCTTGTGAGTATCTGCCAATAGGATACTCACAAGAGTATCTTTAATCCTCATCATCTTTAATCCTTCCAACAACCCTGTGAGGGAAATGTTATCTAAGGATCAGAGAGGTTAAGAGATTTACCCTAAACCACATGTCTAGCAAACAGTAAGGCCAGAATTTAATCTGTTTATGGAGATGCAGTCTCACCTGTTGCCCAGGCTGTTCCCAAACTCCTGGGCTCAAATGATCCTCCTGCCTCCACTTCCCAAGTAGCTGGAAAAACAAGCGAATGCTACCACATCAGCTCAAGACAATCTTTTATATCATATCATTCATTAGGACCTGAATTTTTTTTTTTGAAAAGATTTTTTAAAAAACAGCGGCTTCTAACATTTTGTCTTATAACCCAGTCATATTCAATGACAAATTCTATTTCATGACTTCTTTTTTTTTTTGATGGTACTGGGGTTTGAACTCAGGGTCTTCCACTTGCTAGGCAGGCAACTCTACACTTGAGCACTCCACCAGTCTTTATGACTCATGACTTTTTTAAATGATGCTCCTTGACACACTGAAAGATTTACAATGAGTCAAAGCAAAGATATGCACAGTCACCCCAGAGAGGCGTATGTCTACTCAACCAGCCAAACCAGACTGTAACCTGATTAAGCCCATTAATCTAAAAAACCACTTCGATGGCCCAGGCAGCCCTGGCTGCTGAGATCAAGAGTAGCCTGAGGCAGGAGGCATCAAAGCACCAGTAAGTGAGGAATCATGTTCACCCAACTGTGTATACTCAAAGCCGTCTGTGGCCACTGGTCTCTACATCAGTGCTGTGAACTTGCTTAATGGGAGCTGTCTTTTACTGATGAAAATCAGGTTTCTAAACTCAAAGGTCATTCCTCAGATCAGGATGAATTTGCTGAAGTATTGGATGTTAGTTACTTAACTAAGGCCTCTTGGGAGACTGTCTGCTGGCTTTTCAAACATACATCAACCATTTCAGCCTTGACAGCTTTGCTTAAAAAAATTCAGCCACCATGTATTCTTTTACTAATGCTACTAAGAAAGCAGAACACTATGTCCTGTGGACACCTCCTCTGGGAAGCAGCTCCCAATCCTTTCAGCTACAGCTATTCTCTCTCTCTTCTCAGTCCCTGGCTCAGCATACAATAGGTCTTAGCAAAGGTCAACAGAATGACAATGACTTTCTCCCTGTGCATTTTCAAAACACAGATAATACAGAGCTACCTGAAAATAAGAGGTACACTACAGATCCAGATATGCAAAAAAAAAAGTAATTTTTTTTTTTTAGTGGAGCAGAGTGATTGAATATGGATTATGGAGCCAGACTGCCTGAGTTTGAACTTTTTAGCTCTGTCATCTTGGACAAATTGTTTGTAAACTGGGAATTATAATACCTAACCTAATTTGAAGAACTATTATGGAGATTAAATGAATCAGTACATATAACATGCTTCAAATAGTACTGGGCACAGAACACAGGTGATTCTATGTAAGTATTAATTGCAATTATCATTTTTTAAAACTCCATCTATCCAAAAGAAAGATTGGAGGTATTTTACACTAGAGAGCAGAATCCACAGGTTAAGTATAGAATAACAAGGTGCAATGGTGCTGCAGATTAAATGAGTATATTTAATAAAACTTGCACAAAAACAAGAGATCTATAAGTTATCTTTTACTCCAGTGCTTTTCAAAGAGGTTTGGGGATCCCCTGGGCCAGTGTTACCTGGCAACTTGCTAGAAATGTAAATTCTTGGGTCCCACTCTGTATCTACAGAATCAAAACTCTGGGGATGGAGTCTAGCAGTCTGTAGTTTAATAAGCTCTCCAGGTGGCCCTGATGCTAAATTTGGAGAACTACCCCCTCCCTGCTATCACATCTATTTAGACTCTAAGACCTGCTAATTGTAAAGTGCTCTCAAATCACTCATTTCTCAGGCTTCAGCCAGAACCATATTTCAGGTCCTTACATCTCAACAGGATGACTCCAACAGCCTTCCTTCTCCCTGCCCCATCTGTTTTACTAGTAAAAGAATTCCCTCAAATCACCAACAAGGAGATCTTTCTTATAAAGAAATGTGAACAGCTCATTCTTTGGCCCATACACCCAAACTCTAGCCCCACTAAGCTACCTCAAACTCTTTCTGCTTTCCTTTTTATGTCTTCTTTCCACAGCCTTGTCATCACTGATAAATTACTTTTGATTTTTGCTAGCCTTACATATTTTTAGCCTTATGGTTTTAAAATTTCTATTTCTTTAATTAAAAAGCAAGACTGGCTCTTTCTGCTATATACTTATGGGGTAGTATTATTAACTTACAGTATTTGACTTTTCACTTGTCAGCAATTCCTAAGAGTTAAATAGGGCAGTGAGTAAGAAAATGTTTTAAAAGATGCCACACATAACACAGTAGGTTTATTCCATTAATCCTCAAGAGTGACTACATGGATTATTTCATTTGTGATATGTCTACTCTGGCTTCTACAACAGGAATAGAGAATAGTGGTTAAAACTCTGGAGCCAGTCTCCTGGGTTCTAGTTAGTTCTGCCACTTACTAGATGCATAATGGTTCCTAGTTTGGAAAGTTTCTGTACAATGGAGACAGTAAGAGCACCTGTACCAGTTAGGGTTACTACTAGGAGGATGAAATGCACTAATGTATAACACTGAGGATCATTCTTAGAATTTAAAAATGTTACTTCTTGTTGTTCCTACCATTTCCTAAAAGCATTTTTTTTGGGGTGGGGGGCAGTGCTAGGGACTGAACTCAGGGCTTCATAAAAATTTTCTCGCAAAATGAAATGAAGTCTGGTAAACTGTTTAAAATCAGAGAAATCAGAATTCAACTTCTGGTTCCTGGTGCTATAGGATCTAAAGCACAAAATTTTAATTTTTTGAGCTTCAGTCCCTTCATTTCTAAAATACAGGAAAACAACAGTAGTTACTGCTTAGGTCTATTGTAAAGACTGGACAAATAATAAAGATATACACATAAAATGCTTAGCATAGGGCCTCTCATTCACCATGCATTCAGTAAGGAATAACTATTCTCACTGCTAATAATACTGTGAAGCTGGAGGTATAACTCAGTAGTAAAAGGCTTGCCTAGCATGCATGAGGCCCTGGGTTTGATGACCAGCACTGAAAAAATAAAAAGTGGCTGAATTTGTTCACTTAAAAATAATTACTATTAAAAAGATGTCAAGCTAGTTGTGGTGGTGCGTGCCTGTAATCCCTATTTGGGAAGCGAAGGCAGGAGGACTCTGATTTGGAGGCCAGCCTGGGCAAACAGCAAGACCCTATCTCAAAAAAAAAAAAAGTTATCAAATCCTTTAGAATAATCCTATGAGTTTAGGTATTATAATATTCATTAGATGAAGAAAATGAGGTTCAGGGAGGTTAAATAATTTTCTCAAAGTCATCTTTACTTTCTCAAAAATGGCACAAGGGATTCAAGCCCAGGACTGTATAAATTTATTATATCATGTCACAAATTCTTACCCAACAAATATATACAAAGCCTAGTTTCAGGCACTGTCTTTATGCATATGCATTTCCTAACTTTCTTTCACAAAGCAGGACAAAAAAACTAAAAATGGCAGTATTTATTGAGCATTCTATTTCAGGTACTGTTCTAAGCACTTTACACATATTAATGTGTGCTGACTGTATTCCTACCCTCCCCATACTGTGTGCACATAATCAGAGAATCGTGCAGAGCTCCAATGCAAACTGAATATATGGATAGTATGCTTTATTATTAAAGTTTATTTTTATCATAATTACAGGCTATAATTTAGGAGTTTAAAACAGAATTCAAATAAAGCTGAACCTGTATGTAGAAGATGGTTAAAACTTTGTAAGTAGTGCTACTTAGCTCTTGGCAATTTGTCCTTTTCAAGCACAGGTTCTGGAGCCAGGGTCAACACCATAAAATATCAGGAATGACTCTAAGACATTCATCCTACACAGCAAGCATGGAATATAGATATATTTATATAATATATACATACTTTAATATTATATTGGTCCACTGAGTATACATATTTTAACAAAAGATAAGAATCTATATAATCCAGTTAAACATACATAAGATAAGGGTACACGTATTACATTGAAAGTTGGTGTTCATAAGTTACATATATTTAATATTTTCCAGAGTGCTTTTTTAATTAAAAAATATTTTAAAAGCATTTCAAACATTTGTTCATTTTCCCAGTGCAAAAAAATGTTGCTCAAGTCAACTTACCTTTTTCCTGAAGAGTAAGAGGAAGGAAAAAGAAACCCCCAAAACACCAACTATCACAACTCCCACTACTACCTTCCTTCTCAATCACCTTTTGCAATAAACCCTTGTCACTGGATTAGTTTATCAAAATTATAGCTTGTGATTATGATTCAGCCCTTGCTTCATATGTATCACTTTTATGCTGAATGTTCCTATTTACAAAAGTAGAAAAAAGTTAGCAGTGCAAGAAAGTGGCTTAAGTTTGTTTTAAACCCCAACCATCCAATAGTGTGTGGAAAGAAAAAGCACCATTTCAGGATGAAATGAATTAGATATTTTGGAATTTATTTATAGGCCAGGCAATAAGTTACTCTGATTAACACAGATCAGTATCACCTTGAGTTGATGACTCTGGAGAATTTTAGGTTGTTTCAGGTGCATTTTTCTTTATCTTACTATATAGTAAACTAAATCAATAATTCACGTTAAAAAAAAGATTAATCTACAATTTACAGCCTGCTTCACAGTCCACTTTAAATTCTGCTTGTCTACTAGGTTAGTTTTATAGAAGATGGGCTTTTAACACAGAGTTCTGATAATTAGGCAGGTCCTTTCTCTCCCAATTAAAAGAAGTAAGATTTTCTTTTGCCAGTTTGCCAATTTTCTAGGTGAAAAACATGCAGAGTAAATAAACTAAATTATGAAGATGGAGAAAAAGCAATATGATATGATACATGTCACTTTTTCCATTTGTATTCAGTGGAAGTTTTTATATTTCAAGTAGTTGAGCCTTCATTAAAGAAAACAAAAAATATATGTATGAAAAATTAAAGTACCTTCCAGTTCTAGCTGCTAGAGTTTCTTATGCAAAAGTTCAAGAATAAACCTATTGTGACCTACAGAGGACAGTGACACAGGAAAGACATAATGGCTGCAAGTAAATTTAATATTTTTGCTTACCAAATACTGATAGGTATATTTTAAATAATAAATTTTCTTCACTGTCTGGTACTTAAAGTGAATATTTTCTTACAAACTTAATTTGTAAGAAACTGATTTTGTTAGTTAGCAAACATATGGAGAGGTATCAGTTAATCTAAAATTTTTTAAGTCCAGCAAAATTATTTTAAAAAATATATTTCACACAAGCTTTCATGTTTTTATTTAAGAAAAATCTGAGTCTCAAGCTATAATGGCTCAACCTAATGCATCCTTTTTCAAAAATGGAGTCAATCTATGCAAAATATTTTTCTGTATCTTTAAAAAACAAATTAAACAATATTTTACTAAAAGAAAATTTGAAAATGCACTTTAACCAATTTACATCAATCATAAAAGAGGATGTTCTTTCCCTTCCCCTCCTTCAACCATTCAACTTGGGGAAAATGCTGCAAACTTTAAGAACCCCACTGGCTATCATCAGAATAACTACATAACAAGGGTAGCACAGGGTGAAACTATTTCTCTATATTCCAGAAGGGAGAAGAAGATTGGGTATTCTAGCTTTACAAGTAAGATTAGCAAAGGCAGGCAAAAGCTCAGTAAATGCACACCAGAACAGGGTCCTAGGCAAAGCTGTCTGATTGGGTACTACTTTTGGAGAACAAACTAAAATAAAAGACTAATTTGAAATAAGAGTTTTAAAAAAGCTAGACTTTTGTCACATTAATAGGAATCTTGAAACTTTTGTATTCCCATGCTCATAGGTAGTTTTGATATACATGGTAAGTAGCTTCAGTATTTAGGAAGAAGAAAACTGCATTGTTGACAAAGGACAAGAGAATTCTTCATGCTTCTGATATCTCAGATTTGCTGAGTGCAATAGCCAGTTCTAAATCTTCTTGTTCTTGCTGATTCAGTCGAGCAAGCCTCTGTTCTTCCTCTCTCTCACTTTCCCTCTTGGCCCATTCAATCATATCTTCTTCAGAGGGATACTGTCATTTAAAAGACCAAATGAATGGATGAATGAGTAAATGATTGAGTAAAACAGAGAAAAAAAAGGAAAAATAATTTTTATAAAAGAGTATTAACTACTTGTTTCACCTGAAGGACTCTGGGAATAGTCTTGTTACTTGTTGTTTTTCTGAAAACACGTTTTAACAA